TGGTGTTTTTATTGGCACTGCTTGCAATTTATAATGCAATTTCACTTTGGGGAAATGGGTAGTAAGTCAAACCTATCCTAGAAAAGGGGAGGTTTTTCCAATTTCTTTAAGTTTACTTTGAGCTCTTTCAGTGTGTGTTAAAGTTTTCCTCATGTAGATTTTGTACATATCTTAAGTTTATTCCTAAGTAATTTAATCTTCTGTGTCATTGTAAAGGGGGGTTTCCCTACCATTATATCCTCTACCTAATTAGTGTTTTGGTGTAGAAAGGCAATTGACTTCTTTATATTAATTTTATTAATTTATTTATTTAAAAAATTATTTATTTATTTATTATTTTTGGCTGTGTTGGGTCTTCGTTTCTGTGCAAGGGCTTTCTCTAGTTATGGCAAGCGGGGGCCACTCTTCATCGCGGTACGCAGGCCTCTCACTGTCGCAGCCTCTCTTGTTGCAGAGCACAGGCTCCAGACGCGCAGGCTCAGTAATTGTGGCTCACGGGCCCAGCCGCTCCGTGGCATGTGGGATCTTCCCGGACCAGGGCTCGAACCCGTGTCCCCTGCATTGGCAGGCAGATTCTCCACCACTGCGCCACCAGGGAAGCTCTGTATATTAATTTTATATTCGACCACCTCATGCAATTCTAGGTTATGCCATTATATCATCTGAAAATGGAAATAGTTTTACTTTACCAATTATTGTGCTGCTGATTTCTTTATCATGTCTAATCGTCTATGCTAATACCTCTAGGACAATCTTGAGTACTAGTGGAGATGCAGTGGGCATCCTGCCTTGTTCCTGCTCTTAGAGGAAATGCCTTTAGTGTTTCCTGATTTAGACGCTGGTTATAGAACTAAGATGACTAAGGTACATACATATACACACACATAAATGCATACATACATACATATATACATATGTGTACATATATTCACATTGAGAATGTATCTGTCAATTTCTCTTTGCTTGCATTTTTTAAAAAAAAATATTTAATTTATTTATTTTTGGCTGTGTTGGGTGTTCGTTGCTGCACGTGGGCTTTCTCTAGTTGTGGCGAGCGGGGGCTACTCTTTGTTGTGGTGCACAGGCTTCTCATTGCGGTAGCTTCTCTTGTTGTGAAGCACAGGCTCTAGGTGCGCGGGCTTCAGTAGTTGTGGTACATGGGCTCAGTAGTTGTGGCTCACGGGCTCTAGAGCGCAGGCTCAGTAGTTGTGGTGCACGGGCTTAGCTGCTATGTGGCATGTGGGATCTTCCTGGACCAGGGCTCAAACCCATGTCCCCTGCATTGGTAGGCCGATTCTTAACCACTGCGCCACCAGGGAAACCCTACTTGTGTGTTTTTAAAAACAGGCATGGGTGTTGAATTTTGTCAGGATCTTTGTAACTATTCATATGATTTAATTTTTCCCTTAAGTCTACTAGTATTGTATATGATATTAATGGATTTCCTAATATTGAACAAACCTTGCATTCCTAGAATAAATCCCACTTGATCATAGGGAGATTTGGTGTGTCCAGTCACTATTCAGGAGTCCTGGGCCTGGTTCCAGCTTCTGTCCTGCTTCAGTGTATCCTGGGAAGTGGGGTTCCTTTAGCCACCAAGGAAGCAGTGGGCTGCAAGTCCTTGTGTGGGAATGCAGACCAAGTCACAATTTAGAACTTTTAAATATTGATACATATGATGGGTGTGTCTCCATCTGTACTCTTGCGCTAGTCCCTGCAAATGTTAGGTGTGGCCTGTCCAGGAGTGCACGTTATAGTACTAGGACACCCTGAATAATAAACACAGTTGTTCATGTTTAAATGTAATTAAGTGATCTACTTGGGGGACACACAGCTTACTGTCTAGCTTGGTCTTTTGATTTGTAAAGCAATTCCTTCTGTTAATTGCTTTCAAATAAGGAACTGCTATTTTCCTTCATAGGAACCAGGACAAAATGTTTGTTCTTTTAACATCAGAATTAATTTATAACCTCCACCTTTTCTCTGCATACATTATATTCTACTGAATGCCTTATTGTATTTAGGACTGTCTATTTCCCCCTTTAAATTTACTGGTAATCATCCTTCTAGTACATATGCTGAAATGACCATAAGACAAATCATAACAATAACTGTTGCATTCACTAGACTGTCTTTCCCCAGGGCTGAGGAGTTAAGGGTCTGATATAAGGTAGGAGCTTAATAAGATTTGCTAAAGGAATAAATGTGTGAATGAATGAGTGAATGGTACATTCTGAAAAAATAATAATCACTGTTATAATGATAAAATTAATGTACAGTGAGCACTGAGTACCAAAGGAGTTTTCAACTACACTATTTAATGCCCACAGCAGTCCTATGTGTGTAGCATCATTATTACTATGCCCCCATTTTCCACATGTAGATACTGAAGTTAAGTAAGTTGCCGGAGGTCAAGCAGCTAGTAGGAGACAGTGCCGCTGTTTGAATGCCTGTAAGACACACCAGTTACACTTGCATAATTTGTATCCCTTTTAAGGACACCTGGAAGAACTTTTAGGCAGAAAGAGTTTCACAGACACCACATTGAACAATAATTTGCAGTTCTTATGACTGGTCCTTAGATTTTCTCACTAGACCAGATGCCTAGTGTACCCAGGGCAAGACTTCCTTCTGTCTTCTGCTGAGTGGGTTCCACCTGTGCTGCTGATGTGCTCGAAACGTTGCCAGTGGAGAACAGGGAGGGTAGCATTTTCCTTTCAAGTAGTTGCTGTATGAAAGAACTGTCAAATACAGATGCTGACAGTGAGTATTCCTGTCCCCCTCCCCACCCTGGTTATGACACTGGAGGGGGCCTGGAGTCCCTGATACCCCACTGAGCTTGGTCCCCTGCAAAAAGTATACCATTCCCTCGCAGACTTCGTGGCATGTCCCAACTGGCCATGTTGGTAGATTTCTCTAGGACTTTTGCATGTTCCCAAAAATGACATCACCTTCTCGAAAAGTGTCCTTCGGTCATCAGCCTTATTGCTTTTTCTCCCTTCTCGGAGCTTTACTCGATGCTTGACCACTTCCTAAGCACAAAATGGATTTATTTTCCTCTGTCTTCCCAGATCCCCAAGGCAGGCAGCGAGCGATCTAAATTTGGCTTGAAGCCAATTCCATATTTTCTTTGTTAACAAAGGATCACATTACAAATTGATCATCACACTTATCTTGATAATCCGTGATGTTGGGTTTCTAGGAGCCTCCAAATTAGAAGAAATATGTAGACTAGAAATCCTCCCTTGGGACTATACTGTTAGGTTGACTCATTTGATCTTACTGTTTTTGTAGGTCAAAAATGGTCAAAGATCTCCAATTTCATATGGCTAAACTTAATATCTTGGAAGTCCTTCAGGGGTCTCTGCTTAATGGTACAGGTTGCATACCCAGGTCCAGGCTTCCTGCAGATCGTAGATGCCTCTGTAAGGGTATCACTTCTCTCCATCCACAATTCTTGCCCCAAAGCAGAGGTAGCTGATTAAAATCCTCATGTTCACATGGACACAAGTGAATGTTTCCTTTTTGTTCAACTGTCTTCCTTGGAATTTTATTCCTGCTGTGGTTTTAAAATATCTCCACAAATTCTTTGATACCCCTCCCTCTGAAAGACGGAGCTTCATCCCTGTCCCCTTGACTGTGGGCTGGACTTGGTGATTTGCTTCTAATGAACAGAATATGGCAGAAGTGATGATGTGCCACTTCATAGATTAGGTCGTAAAAGACCTTATGGTTTCCGGCTGGCTGGCTCTTCGGTTAATTGCTCACTCAGAGGAAAGTCAGCTGCTATGTGAGGACACTCCAGCAGTCCTAAGGGGAGGCCCCTGTAATGGGGAACTGAGCCCTCCTGCCTACAGCCAATGAGGAGGTGAGGCCTTCTGCCAACAGCTTGTGAGCCATCTAGGAAGCAGACCCTCCAGTGCCTTTCAGCCTTCAAACGACTGCAATCTTGGCCGACCAGACAGGCCTAGCCGGTGGTTCTGGCTCAGAGTCTTTCATGAGGTTGCAGTCAAGATTCTTGAAGATTCCTTCTCTTACTCAAGACCAGCTGTCGCGCTCCTTCCCTGTGGTTGGCACTGTGCCAGGAACTGGAGAGCTAAATGGGGCATTCTTGTCTTCCAAGAGCTCACAGCTAGTAAGACAGTCAGTCTCATTAATAATCATTGGACATAAACATGCTAAAATTGAAAGTATGTTAAAAGTGCTTTAGGTTATACTTGCATGGAGCTTTGGGAGATTAAAAGAGAGGCAGGTCTGCTTGATAAGGTGTTTTGAGTAGGTGAACAAAGAAGAGGCCTGAGGAGGCCCTGCATACAGTGGTGAAGGTGACACCCCACAAGAAAAGAAGGCCGACCAGGCCCCTCTTCAGAGACCAGGAGCTGCTCTGAGGCTACTCTGTGGGGACCAGGAAATCCCAGACCACCCTGTCTGTACCTCTTCCTTAGCAGTAGTGACCTTTCAAAAAACCAGAATTAATGGTAAGAAAGGCAGAGGGCCGGCTAGGAAGAGGGGTGAGGAAATTATCCTCTTTAGAAGTGAAGTGTCTTGGAAAAAGTGTGCCCAGGCCTGCGGAGAGTTCAAGGTCATAATGATCATAGCTCCACTGAAGGGAATCTAGTCCTCAGTTAACAGTGTAGCAATAAAGTGCTGTTAACATATAATCAAAGGTGCATTTCAATGCTAGAGTCTCCTGAGAGCAAAACAAACAACACCCAAAGAAATTATGGAGATGTAAAACTTCGACTTCTCCTTGAGCACAAAGCCAAAATTTCTTGCTTCTGGGCTCATTGAAGACGACTTTACCAGGCCCAGGGTGTTACTGACTGACAGCTTGGATTGAGTCCACATCATGGAAATGCGTGGGGGATTTGCTCCTTGTGCTTGCTCTTGTTATGGACTGCTACTTTCTCGTAGTTAGTGGCTTTCTAAAGTTGAAATAAAGCTTGGAAACTGACGGTATTTGGCAAAACTTGGTAATTGTGCTTATTTTTTTCCCACAGAAAATAATCCAACAAATGACCAAAATCACAACCCACCACGCGTGAAAAACATCTTCCAAACGCTCCAAAGATCTTTAGGTAAATGAGAACTTATGACCATATTGATGATAAGTATATATAGTGACTCCTGATTCTAGGTTTTGTTTTTGTGCTACAGAGACAAGGAATGTAAAAATTTGCGTTCAAGTGGCAAGTCTATCTTTTTTAAAAAAAACTGTATGAAAGAGCAAGGCAAACACAACCCCTTAGTAGATTAACTCTATGTTATCCAGGGTTTTCTGTCTGTGGTTGTTAATTCCTTGACCCTGATTTGACAAGCTGGCTCTTCCAAAGTCAAGTAATTATGAGTCATTTTAAGCTGAGAGTTTTCTCTCTTTTTCTAAGACAAGTTGAATAAAAAATAAATTTATTTCTTTTTCCAGAAATGTGAGGCTGTTATCACATACTTCCTAGACAGATTCACCCCAAAGCTGCAGAATTAGCTGCAGTTTTTCAACCCTGTCTGTTTCTACTAAGCCATTCTGTGGTCCCTCTACCAATAAATGAATATTTCAGTGTATTTAATCTTCTGTATTGCCCTTGAAATTCAAGAAACGTTCTTTTTAAAATTGAAGTGTAATTGACTTAAAATATTATATTAGTTTCAGGTGTACAACCTAGTGGTTCAATATTTTTATACATTACAAAATGATCACCATAGTAAGTTTAGTTACTATCTGTCGCCAAAGTTATTACAATATAATTGACTATATTCCCTATGCAGTACATTACATACCTGTGACATATTTATTTCATAACTGGAAGTTTGTTCCTCTTAATCTCCCTCATCTATTTCACTCATCCTCCCATGCCTCCTTCCCTCAGGCAACCACTAATCTGTTCTCTGTATTTATGAGTCTGTTTCTGTTTTGTTATGTGTCTTCATTTGCTTCATTTTTCAGATTCCACATGTAAGTAAAATCATACGGTATTTGTCTTTCTCTGTCTGACTTATTTCACTTAGCCTAATACTCTCTAGGTCCATCCATGTAATCACAAATGGCAAGATTTCATTCTTTTTTATGGCTGAGTAAGACTTGTGTGTGTGTGTGTGTGTGTGTGTGTGTGTGTGTGTGTGTATGAAATACATATATGACATCTTCTTTATCCATTCCTCTATTTTGTTCTTGTTTTTTATTTTGGGATCTTAGTTCTCCGACCAGGGATGTGGGATCTTAGTTCTCCACAGCATGTGGGATCTTAGTTCTCCGACCAGGGACCAAACCTGCACCTCCTGCATTGGAAGCGCAGAGTCTTAATCACTGGACCACCAGGGAAGTCCCATTCCTCTATTGATGGACATTTCTGTTGCTTCCATATCTTGCCTATTGTAAATAATGCTGCAGTGAACATAGGGGTGCATATATCTTTTCAAATTAGTGTTGCTGTTTTCTTTGGAGAAATATCCAGAAGTGGAATTGCTGTATCATATGATAGTTCCATTTTAAATTTTTTGAGGAACCTCCATACTGTTTCCATAGTGGCTGCACCAATTTACATTTCCACCAACAGTGTTCAAGGGTTCCCTTTTCTCCATATCCCTGCCAACAGTTGTTATCACTTGTCTTTTTGGTAATAGCCATTCTGACAGATGTGAGGTGATATCATGGCTTTGATTTTCATTTCCCTGATGTTCAGTGCTGTTGAGGATCCTTTATTGTGTCTGTTGGACATCTGCCTGTCCTCTTTGGAAAAAATGTTTATCCAGGTCTTCTGCTTATTTTAAAATCAAGTTGTTTGTTTGATATTGAGGTGTATATGTTCTTTGTATATTTTGGATATTAACCCCTTTTCAGATATGTTATTTGCAAATGTCTTCTCCCATTCAGTAAGTGGCTTTTTCATTTTGTGGATAGTTTCCTTTGCTGTGCAAAAGCTTTTTTTTTTTTTTTTTTTTTGTGGTATGCGGGCCTCCCACTGCTGTGGCCTCTCCTGCTGCGGAGCACAGGCTCAGCAGCCATGGCTCACGGGCCCAGCTGCTCCACGGCATGTGGGATCTTTCCGGACCGGGGCACGAACCCGTGTCCCCTGCATTGGCAGGCGGACTCTCAACCACTGCGCCACCAGGGAAGCCCTGCAAAAGCTTTTTAGTTTGATTAGGTCTCATTTGTTTGCTCTTGCTTTTGTTTCCCTTGCCTGAGGAGGCGTATAGCTGAGACTGGTGTCAAAGAGCTAACTGCTTATTTTTTCTCCTAGGAGTTTTATGGTTTTAGGTCTTATATTTAAGTCTTTAATCTGTTTTGAGTTTATTTTTGTTCATGGAGTGAGAAAATAGTCCAGTGTGATTCTTTTGCATGTGTCACTGTCCAGTTGTTCCAACACCATTTATTAAAGAGGCTGTCTTGGGCTTCCCTGGTGGCGCAGTGGTTAAGAATCCGCCTGCCAATGCAGGGGACACGGGTTTGAGCCCTGGTCTGGGAAGATCCCACATGCCGCGGAGCAGCTAAGCCCATGCACCACAACTACTGAGCCTGCACTCTAGAGCCCGCAAGCCACAACTACTGAGCCTGCATGCCACAACTACCGAAGCCCGTGCTCCTAGAGCCCATGTTCTGCAACAAGAGAAGCACCGCAAGGAGAAGCCCCTGCACCGCAATGAAGAGTAGCCCCCGCTCACCACAACTAGAGAAAGCCTGTGCACAGCAATGAAGACCCAAAGCAGCCAAAAATAAATAAAATAAATGAATTTATTAAAAAAAAAAAGAGGCTGTCTTTTCTCCATTGTATATTTTTGCCTCCTTTGTCATAGATTGACCATAAATGCGTGGGTTTATTTAGGGGTTCTCTGTTCTGTTCCATTTGTCTTTGTGTCTGTTTTTATGTCAGTACTGTAGCTTTGTAGTATAGTTTGAAATGAGGGAGCATGATACTCCAGCTTTGTTCTTCTTTCTCAAGATTGTTTTGGCTGTTCAGGGTCTTTTGTGTTTTCATACAATTTTTATTTTATTTTATTTTATTTTTTTGCAGTACATGGGCCTCTCACTGTTGTGGCCTCTCCCGTTGCGGAGCACAGGCTCCGGACACACAGGCTCAGTGGCCATGGCTCACGGGCCCAGCCGCTCCGCAGCATGTGGGATCCTCCCGGACCGGGGCACGAACCCGTGTCCCCTGCATCGGCAGGTGGACTCTCAACCACTGCACCACCAGGGAAGCCCAAATTTTATTTTATTTTTTCCTCATTTCATTGATTGATTGATTGAAGTATAGTTGATTTACAATATTGTATTAGTTTCAGGTGTACAGCAAAGTGATTCAGTTATATATATATATATATACTTTTTTTTCCTGGTTCTTTTACATTATAGGTTATTACAAGGTATTGAATATAGTTCCCTGTACTATACAGTAAATCCTTGTTGTTTATCTATTTTACGTATAGTGGTGTGTATCTATTAATCCCATGCTCCTAATTTATCCCTCCTCCACCTTTTTCCCCTTTGGTAACCATAAGTTTGTTTTCTGTGTCTGTGAGTCTGTTTCTGTTTTGTAAATAAGCTCGTTTGTATTGTTTTTTCGATTCCACAACTAAGTGATATAATATTTGTCTTTCTCTGTCTGGCTTACTTCATTGATTATGATAATCTCTAGGTCCATCCATTTGCTGCAAATGGCAATATTTCGTTTTTTTCCATACAAATTTTAGAATTATTTGTTCTAGTTCTGTGAAAAATGCCATTGGTATTTTGATAGGGATTGCAGTGAATCCGTAGACTGCATGGTGTATCTTTCCGTTTGTTTATGTTGTCTTCAATTTCTTTCATCAAAGTCTTGTAGTTGTCCAAGTATAGTCTTACCTCCTTGGTAAGATTTGTTTCTAGGTATTTTATTCTTTTTAAAGCATTTGTAAATGGGATTTTTTTTTTTTTTTTTTCGGTACGCGGGCCTCTCACTGCTGTGGCCTCTCCCGTTGCGAAGCACAGGCTCCGGACGCGCAGGCTCAGCGGCCATGGCTCACCGGCCCAGCTGCTCCGCAGCATGTGGGATCTTCCCGGACCGGGGCACGAACCTGCGTCCCCTGCATTGGCAAGCGGACTCTCAACCACTGCGCCACCAGGGAAGCCCAATGGGATTGTTTTTGTAATTCACCTTCTGATAGTTCTTTGTTACTGTACAAAATGCAACAGATTTCTCTATATTAATTTTGTATTCTGCAACTTTATTGAATTCATTTATTAGTTTTAATAGTTTTTGGGGTGTGTGTGTAGGATTTTCTATATATAGTATCATGTCATCTGCAAACAGTGACAGTTTTACTTCTTCCTTTCCAATTTGAATTCCTCTTATTTCTTTTTCTTGTCTGATTTCTCTGGCTAGGACTTCCAATACTGTGTTGAATAAAAATGGACAGAGTAGGCATCCTTGTCTTGTTCCTGATCTTTGAGGAAATTCTTTCAGCTTTTCACCATTGAGTATGATGTTAACTGTGGGCTTGTCATATATGGCCTTTATTATGTTGAGGTATGTTCCCTCTACGCCCACTTTGTTGAGATGTTGAATTTTGTCAAAAGGTATTTCTGCATCTATTGAGATGATCATATGGTATTTATTCTTCAGTTTGTTAATGTGCTGTATCACATTGATTGATTTATGCAGATATTGAACCATTGTTGTATCTCTGGAACAAATCCCACTTGATCATGGTGTATGATCCATTTAATATATTGCTGTATTCAGTTTGCTAATTTTGTTGAGGATTTTCGCACCTATGTTCATCACTGATATTGGCCTATAAATTTCCTTTTTTGTGGTGTCTCTATCTGGTTTTCATATCAGGGTGATGCTGGCATCATAGATGGGTTCAGAAGCATTCCTTCTTCTGCAATTTTCTGGAAAAATTTGAGGAGGATAGGCTTAGCTCTTCTTGAAATATTTGGTCAAATTCACCTGTGAAGCCATCTGGTCCTGAACTTTTGCTTGTTGGGAGGGTTTTTTTTTGTTTTTTTTTTAAATTACTGATTCAATTTTATTACTGGTAACTGTTCTGTTCAGATTTTCTTCTTCTTCCTGATTCAGTCTTGGGAGATTATATGTTTCTAGGAATTTATCCATTTCTTCTAGGTTGTCCATTTTACTGGCATATAATTATTTATAGTAATCTCTTATAATCCTTTGTGTTTCTGTGGTGTCAAGTGTAACTTCTAATTCATTTCTGATTTTATTTATTTGGGCCCTCTCTTTTTCTCTTGATGAGTCTGGCTATCGGTTTATCGATTTTGTTTATGTTTTCAAAGAATGAGCTCTTAATTTCATTAATCTTTTTTTATTGCTTTTTAAGTCTCTATTTCATTTATTTCTGTTCTGATCTTTATTATTTCTTTTATTCTATTAACTTTAGGTATTTTTTGTTCTTTTTCTAATTCCTTAGGTGTAAGGTTAGATTGTTTATTTGAGATTTTTCTTGTTTCCTGAGGTAGGCTAATGTTGCTATAAACTTCCCTCTTAGAACTGCTTTTGCTGCATCCCATTGAATTTGGATCATTGTGTTTCCATTTTCATTTGTCTCTGGGTATTTTTTGATTTCCTCTTTAATTTCTTCAGTGACTTATTTGTTGTTTATGTGCATGTTGGGTGTATTTTTGGCAATTTTTATGTTTATGTTTTTGGCAGTTTTTTTCTTGTAGTTGATTTTTCCTATCATTATGGTCAGAAAAGATGTTTGATATGATTTCAATCTTCTTAAATTTATTGTAACATATATTATATAATATATATATGATTTTTTTTGGCCATGCTCTGTGGCTTGTGGGATCTTAGTTCCCCGACCAGGGATCAAACCTGTGCCCCCTGCAGTGGAAATGCTGAGTCCTAACCACTGGACCTCCAGGGAATTCCCTATATATGATTATTTTAAGTTGATGGTCTCTTAAGTTCGAATGCATTCTGATAATCCTGCATTTCCACTCCTGCACCCCCACCATATTTAATGTTGTTAACATCATATTTTATATCTTTTTGTTTTGTGTATCCCTCAACTACTTATTGTGGAGGTAGATGATTTTACTACTTTTGTCTTTTGGTCCACTACCTTACTGTATATTTGCTTTTACCAATGAGCTTTCCTTCTGTGATTTTTATATTTCCAGTTGTGGTCTTTTTTTTTCCACTTAGAGATGTCCTTTTAAATTTTCTTGTAAAGCTTGTTCAGTGGTAACTCTTTTAGCTTTTCCATGTCTGTAAAACTCTTTATCTTTCCCTCAAATCTGAATGATAGCTTTGTGGAGTAGAGTATTCATGGTTGTAGGTTTTTTCCTTTCACCACTTTGAACATATCATGCCCACTCCCTTCTGGTCTGCAAAGTTTCTGCTGAAATGTCAGCTGATAGCCTTATGGGAGTTTCCTTGTACATAGCAAGTTGCTTTTCACTTGCTGCTTTTAGGATCCTCTCTTGATCTTTATTATTTTTTTCTTTTTCTTTAAATTTTTATTGGAGTATAGTCTTTTTAAAAAATATTTATTTATTTATTTAAATTTTATTTTTGGCTGCATTGGGTCTTAGTTGCAGCATGCGGGATCTTCCATTGGGGCATGTGGGCTCCTCACTGCGCCAGGTGGTCTTCTCTTTAGTTGCAGTGTGCAGGCTCCAGAGTGCATGAGCTCAGTAGTTGCGGTGCACGGGCTCTCTAGTTGTGGCCCATGTGCTCAGTAGTTACGGCGTACGGGCTTAGTTGCCCCGTGGCATGAGGGATCTTAGTTCCCTGACCAGGGATTGAACCCACATCCCCTGCATTGGGAGGCAGATTCTTAACCACTGGACCACCAGGGAAGTCCCTGGAGTATAGTCTTTATCTTTAATTTTTGCCATTTTAATTATGTCTCGGTGGAGACCTTTCTGGGTTCATCTTGTTTGGGACTCTGTGCTTTCTGTATCTGGATGTCTGTTTCCTTTCCCAGGTTAGTGAAGTTTCAACTATTATTTCTTCAGATAAGTTCTCTGACCCTTTATTTCACTCTTCTCTTTCTGGGACCTCTGCAATGTGAATGTTAGTATGCTTGATGTTGTCCCAGAGGTCTCTTAAACTATCCTCATTTAAAAAAATTCTTTTTCCTTTTTTATGTTCAGCTTGGGTGATTTCCACTCCTCTGTCTTCCAGTTTGTGGATCCATTCCTGTGTATCACCTAATTTACTGTTGATTCCTTCTAGTGTATTTTTTATTTCAGTTTTTGCATTCTTCAGCTCTGTTTGGTTCTTCTTTATATTTTTTAACTCTTTCTTAAACTTCTCATTGTATTCCTCCAATTTTCTCCTGAGTTTGTTGAGCATCTTTTTTTTTTTTTTTTTTGCGGTACGCAGGCCTCTCACTGTTGTGGCCTCCCCCGTTGCAGAGCACAGGCTCCGGACGCGCATGCCCAGCGGCCATGGCTCACGGGCCCAGCCGCTCCGCGGCATGTGGGATCTTCCCGGACTGGGGCAAACCCGCGTCCCCTGCATCAGCAGGCGGACTCTCAACCACTGTGCCACCAGGGAAGCCCTGTTGAGCATCTTTATGATCATTACCTTGAACTCTTTATGAGGTAGATTGCTTATCTATACTTCAGTTAGTTCTTCTTTGGGGGTTTTGTCTTATTCCTTCATTTGAAACATACTAATTTTTTCCACATTCCACCTAATTCTCTGTGTTTATTTCTAAGTATTAAGTAGGTCAGTTATGTTTCCCCATCTTAGAGACGTGGCCTTGTGTATGAGACTTCCCATGGGGCCCAGCAGCACACTCCTCTCTGGTCACTTGAGCTATGTGCTCAGGTGGGCTCTTTTGTTGTGGCAGGGCTGGCTACTGTGGATGTGCTGGTAGGTGAAGTTGGCCCCTGACTTGGTTGGCTGCCGGGCCCTGCCTTGTGCTTGCTGGTGTTGGGGGGCTGGGGCCTGGTGTGGCTGGCTGCACAGCCTGGGGGGTCCTGGGACTGCTGCAAGTCCGTTGGTGGGCAGGCAGGCCCCCGGCGCTAAAAGACTCGAGGGAGGACTTCAAAATGGTGCTTGCCAGCCCCAGGGTCACTGTGGTAGAACAAGATCCCCAAAATGACTGCTGCCAGCACCTATGTCCCCAGTTGCCTCCTTCCTCTCTGGGAGCCTCTCCGAGATCAACAAGTGGGTATGACCAGTGTCCTTTCAAATTATTGCCTCTGTGCTGGGGCTCAGAGTTTGTGAGATTTTGCACGTGTCCTTTAAGAAGAGAGTCTGTTTCCTACAGCTCTTTAGCTCTTCCATAGGCAAACCCCGCTGGCCTTCAAAGCCAGGCATTCTGGTGGCTCGTCCTCCCAGTGCAGGAACCCGGGGCTGGGGATCCCGATGTGGGGTTTGGACCCCTTGCTCCTTGGGGAGAACCTCTACCGTTGTGATTATCCTCCTGTTTGTGGGTCACCTTGCCTGGGGAGTGGGTACTGACTATACCCTGTCTCACTGTGGTTCCTTCTTTATAGCTTTAGTTGTGGGAAGTCTTTTCCACTAGTCTCCAGGTCATTCTCATAGACAGTTGTTCTGGAAACAGTCATGACTTTGGTGTGCCCCTGGGAGGAGATGAGCTCAGGGTCTACCCACTCTGCCATCTTGGCCACATACCTCAAGAAACATTTTTTTTTTATAGTATTTTGTGGTTTCTGAATTGTTTTCACGAACATTGTGTTATCAGTGAGGTAGGTCTTATTATTTCTATTTTATACTAGTTAAGACTGGGGTCGGAGAGGCTCAGCAGCTATTTGAAAGGTTCTGGCTGAGCCCCATAAGGGTGCTCCCTGACCAGCAGCAGCATCACTCAGGGAAAGTGAGAAATGCGCATTCCCAGCCCCCACACCCTAGACTTCCTGAATCAGAAACTCTGGGGTGGGGCCCAGCGATCTGTGTCTTAACAAGGCCTCCTGGTGATTCTGAAGCACACTCCAGGGTGAGAACCACGCCTCAGTCTACCCAGGAATTTGTTAGGTTAAAAAAATAAATGAAAACAAAACACTGATGTCCGTTTGGACCTTTCTCCAAAATCTTAACTCCTCACTTTGACTCTAGAGGCAGTTACTTTCATCATGAAAACAGAACTAATCACAGCTGCTGGGTGTTTTTAGATGAACCCATTTTGTCTTTTGTAGGTCACATTGCAGAGGAGAAGAGGGATAAAGAATCCTCTCTATTCAACAGGGATGTAAGTGATGAGCAGTTAACAACCATAAATAAAGGAACAGTTCAAGAAGCAATCAGTCCAGGTAATAATCTATAGAGTGTGAGCTAAATAAGGTGCCTACATATGGATGACTTCAGAATGCAACTTTTGCCTTTCATGGTGTTTTAATGGACTAGATGTCAGCACACCTTTAATTTACCCATGAAAGCACATGATCTACAGTTAAAATTATGCATTAAACTAACTCTAGGAATTTGCCACCCAAATTCAAAAAGATGCTGCTTTTTTTTTTTTTTTTTTTTGCGGTACGCGGGCCTCTCACTGTTGTGGCCTCTCCCGCTGCAGAACACAGGCTCCAGACGCGCAGGCTCAGTGGCCATGGCTCACGGGCCTAGCTGCTCCGCGGCATGTGGGATCTTCCTGGACCGGGGCACGAACCTGTGTCCCCTGCATTGGCAGGTGGACTCTCAACCACTGCGCTACCAGGGAAGTCCAAAGATGCTGCTTTGATGTTGTTTCTACAAGCCAGGGTCATCCATAACATGGGCATCATAATCACAGTCCTTGACATTACTGAGCACTGATGCTTTCTACCAAACAGGAGGGATTAAATGCCAAAGGTTAACCTAGTCCTTGATCTTCATCCTTGGATTACTTGAGGCTGGGCCCATTCAGAGTGAGTAGAAACTTGCCGTCATGGCAACGTGCTGGTACCAAGTCCAGGACGCCCCCTCCATGTGGCTACCCACTAACAGAATTGTACCTGGTTGTCACTTCCTAACTCTAAGAAATTGAATGCTGAATTATTCCAACAGAGCCCTTAAAGTTGCTTGATGCTGCTGCCTCTTGACATAGCATCGACGAAGGTGGGAAGTTGGACGTGCCTCAGTTTTCTCCCCATAACCCAAGAAGGCCCTTGGCCAGTATGTCCCGCCTGCATCACTAGGCTCCCCTCAGCGGCTCTCCACATCTGATTCCTATCATCGTACCTCTGTGCCCCATTTCCCTGATTCTTTTATCTCTTTTGGGTCACATTACAAATGGGGTAACAGAAGCTCTGAGTCCCCAGTGGCAGCTGATGACTGCTTCCCTTGAGATCTAGCTAAGATTGCCTTGGACAGTATTCCCAAGCCCACATGCAGTGGCATTCCAAATCTACCCTCAAGGTTTCTACAAGTCCCTAAAGGGTTGAAAAAGCTTGGGATCATCTTGGCATCATGTTTGCCTTATGTCTTGAAATTCCCCCAAACCTACACACCCGAGGCAGATAATGTATATGGCAGAATTACCTGGAGCTGGGGGTGGGGGAGGAGGGATGAGGGACAGCAGAGAAGAGGTTGTATCACTGCCCTGTGAAAGCTTCAGACTGAATACTTGACTCCATTATTTTTAATTGAAATATAGTTGATTTACAATATTGTGTTAGTTTCGGGTATTCAGTAAAGTGATTCAGAATATACCTATACATATATACACACACGCAACACACACACACACACACACACACACACATATATATACATATATATTCTTTTTCAGATTCTTTTTCATTATGGTTTATTACAGGATATTGAATGTAGTTCCCTGTGCTATACAGTAAGACCTTGTTGTTTATCTGTTTTATATATGGTAGTTTGTATCTGCTAATTCCAAACTCCTGATTTTTCCCTTCCCCCCCTTCCCCTTTGGTAACCATAAATGTGTTTTCTTTGTGAGTCTGTTTCTGTTTTGTAAATAAGTTCATTTGCATCCTTGTTTTAGATTCCACATATAAGCGATATCGTATGATATTTGTCCTGGTCTGACCTACTTCACTCAGTATGACCATCTCTAGGTCCATCTGTGTTGCTGCAAATGGTGTTATTTCACTCTTTTTTATGGCTGTTGACTTCATTTTTCTTTTTTTAGATTTATTTATGGCTGTGTTGGGTGATTCCATTTTTCTTAAAAGCCATTGTAGTGGGACTTTTCATCTCCTGTAGTGGCCCCGTCTCCTCCCTCCATCTTCACTCTCCTCTATTCCTCTCCTGACCTCCAAACTCGTTGCTTTGCTGTTTGCCAGCTCATACCCTCAGCATCTCACCTCCACCATCAAAGGTTAGGAATGTCTTTTCCTAAACACAGCCAGTTTATTCCCCAAGAGGACTTGTGGAACCAGCAGCTAAGATGCCAAGGTTTTCATTCTGGCTCCAAGCAGAACCAACCAGGTGTCCCTACAAAGGCGTACAGGGTCGTCGCTCTCTGTTTACTCGGCCGTGCGTCTTCTCATTTAGATGTTCCAAGCAGGAGTATGCCATGCGCACAGCTTCTGCGCTTTCTGTAGAGGGACATCAGCGTCGCCGCTGTCTCGGTGGCAGGAATCCTCACGGCCACAGTGTCGCTGCTGCTGGTGTTGGTCACGTACATCAGGAAGAAACAGCCATTGTGAGTAGCTCTTAGCGCCCGCCTTCCTTCCAAGAACTCACAGATTTTTGTACCAACGTTGCCCCCAAATTTCCTCTGACCCTGGATTTAGGAGGACAGTGGGGACCTCTGAGCCTGGCTGTGCGTCAGCATCAGCTGACATGCCTCCTAGGCGTGCAGATCACCCAGGCCATTGGTTTTCAGACACTGCCTTGTGGTTCTGATGCACAGCTGGGTTCAGGGTTTCCTGGTTTGGGCCATCCTTGCCTCTGAAGGCCACCAGAGGTGAGGCCGCACCTCTTCCCATACTGAGGACCACTGAAAGACGAGATGGTACAGCCTCTGGCTGGAAGATTGGAAAACAGGAATATGGATGTAGAAAAGAAAGGCAAAGTATAGCTCCAGGTGTGTGGGGATGGATGAGGCTGAGGAGGAGAGGAGAGGAGGCTGACGTTCGGCTCGTTCAGACTGCTGCAGCCGCGCTGATGGTTAGAATATTGAAAGATGCCTCTGTTGGTTGGTAAACAGCCCCTTTCCAGGACCTCCCCACACTTCCCAGTCTTCCCCATGACCCAGCAAGTGAAGGGTTAATGGCTGGTGCGGAGGGGCGGAGGGGTGCGGTGAGAGGGCCTCCAGGGCTCTACTCCATCAGTGGCCATTTTCAATAGTCAGTGTATGTCTGTACCACTTGTTAAGTACTTCAACTATCTCCCTGATGAGAGGGCTCAAGCACAGTGGCGCTAACCAGGAGCAGGCACTAGAAAGCAGAGTTTACAAGATTATGCATTTGCAGTAATTGCGCCTCGAAATTATGTGCCTTGGTCTGTATCCCTTGGGACCCACATTCCTGATCACGGGGAAAAGCAGCTCTCCAAGGCCCCTCACGTCCTGCCCAGCACTGTGTTAGGTCCTCGGCCTGTCCACAGAGAAAGGAGGCCGTGGTGTGTGATGAGGGGTGAAGTGTCCACCCCCCATCCCATCCCTGCCAAACTCTGCAGTATTTAAATTTCCCCACAAGAGTTGCATTGCTTTCCCTAAGTGTGCTTAAAAATGCCAGGCTCCCGGAACCGGTAACCCATTCCGGCCAGCCACCATCGCCTCCCACCCAGCTTTCTGGGAGAGGAGAGAGAGAGCAGTGGGTCCCCTGAAGCGAAAGGGGAATCCTGAATATGGCAGAAGTTAGAGAAGATTTAAAGCCCTCTTGGAAATAAGTTTGACGGGCTTCACAGTTCTGACTGGGGCTTATCCATTGGATTCACCATTTCCCTTCCGTGTCTCTCAGAGGTATCAAAAGAAGTGGTGAAGGGGAATTCCCTGGCCATCCAGTGGTCAGGACTCTGCGCTCTCACTGCGGAGGGCCCGGTTCGATCCCTGGTCAGGGAACTAAGATCCTGCAAGCTGTGTGGTGCAGCGGGGTGGGGTGAAGTGGTGAAGACTGGCTCCGTCCCACAGAGACGAATCAAAGCTGTGGAGAGCCTGTGTTAGTTATGAGAACGTGGTGGGAAAGGATTTTCCCAGAGACTCTGTGGTGCCCCGAGGCAAAATGAATTTCACCCGCGACAAGCCTTCCTGATGGGAAGTACATAGGGTCCTCACCCCGCAGAAACATCAGCCGCTATTTCCTCCCACGGAGTAGCCGGTAGGAATTGCTACCCATTTAGTTGTGCGGTACAGTTCCTGTGTGCTTTGTTTTAGATCTCCTCCAGCAAACATGACCTACAGTATTTTTATAATGAATGGAAAGACTTGGTGGCAAAAGTCTCAAGCAAAGAAGACCAGAAAACATGGAGGAAAACAGGAACAGTTGAAGTTACAGTCCAGTGTCTAAGCCAGGTGATGGGGCCAGCCAACCAGCACCCAAAGCCGTGACGCGAGGCGATTCTCCATCCGGACTCCGTGGAGAGGCAGTTGGATTTCTGGCTGTGAGGTGCACGCTGCAAAATGTTTACCTTTTCCTCTCAACTTTGAATGGACCAAGAAAATTTTGACCACAGAATGCTCATAATGGTAATGACTAGTACGGGAGACTTAGCACATTTCCCCAAAGACTGACCTGACACACAATGGATTCATTTATTATAGCAGTGCTTCATTTTCTCAGCCGTTCACTGAACAGATATGAATTGAGCACCCCATATACAGACAATATCAAAATACATGAGGCAACCAAAGATGCTCGAATCAGCAGGCATGGCCCTCGCAGGTTTCTGAGGACATGGCAGGCAGCTGGCTGAGGGCCTTTGGTAGTCGGTCTATGCCTCTCTGTCCCCATGGCCAAAGGGGCCAGGGGTCTGAGGGCTGGGGTCCAGAGGAGAAAGGTGAGAAGGGGGGGACTCAAGTTGGTGTTGCAGGCTCAAGAGAGCAGCCATTGCAGCTCAGGCAACTCTCGCCCCTACACTGGAAGGCAGGGTCCAGAGAGAAGGACGCTGCCCCGCCCCCCACCCCGCGGGAGGGAGGGTCCTGAGGCTGGGGGAGGATGTGTTACGCCACACGTGCGGCCACAGCGGCCCCTCAGGTCCACGTGCTCCAGGTCTGATTCATGCCTTCTCGCCTCGACCTGAAGAGGATGCACACTGTCTTGTGGTGCCAGTCAGGGGGTGCAGAAGGGGCAGTGGGGTAGCCCAGCCACGAGCACGCTGGCGGGGGCGTCTCAGCCGCACTAGGAAGGGCGAGGACGGGAGCGAGATCTGAGGTCAGAGATGCAAAGAAGGGGTGTGGCCTAAGCCAAGGGTCCGAATCAAGGGGTGGGGGGACCTGGCCAAAGACACCCGTGAGGGGCATGGCCTGAGGGCCCAAGCGAGGGCTTGACTTGAAGGGGTTTGGGGTGGGGCGTGTTAACCGGGGAGGGAACGGGGCTCTAGGGAGGAGGTGGCCTCGCGAGGGCCGAGGGCACACCGTGCTGGACCTGCCAGCAACGGGTAGACTGGAGCGCAGATGGAGAACCCGGGAGGGGCGCGTCAGGGAGGGCATGGTCCAGGGACCAGAGGCGTGGCCGGGACGTAAGGGCATGGCTGGTGTTCACCCCTCCCTGGGGGAGAATGTCCTCTGGCGCAGGGATGTTGTTGGCTGCTCTTGTTGTAGGAAACATCTGCGGTTTCCCCAGGGGTAGACCTCTTGCAGGCCAAGACGCCCGCCCAGGCTCGTACTCCCCCTGGCTGGAGAGGACCCAGGCCTCCTGCTAGCTGCCGGCCTCCACACTCCTTTCCTGGGTCTCAACAAGTCTCTTGGGTCACCTTCCCGGCTTCAGCCTGGGACCCATCCTCCACCTTAATAAGCTACACTTACTGAGACCCTGTTATGTGTGTAAACTCTCGATCCATATTGAAGTATAGTTAATTTACAATGTTATGTTAATTTCTGCTGTACAGCAGAGTCATTCAGTTATACATATGTATATTCTTTTTTAATATTCTTTTCCATTATGGTTTATCATAGGATATTGAATATAGTTCTCTGTGCTCTATAGTAGAACCTTGTTGTTTATCCATTCTATATATAAAAGCTTACATCTGCTAACCCCAGCCTCCCATTGCATCCCTCCCCCAATCCCCTCCCCCTTGGCAACCACCAGACTGTTCTCTATGTCCATAATTCTATTTCTGTTTCATGGATATGTTCACTTGTGTCATATTTTAGATTCCACATATAAGTGATATCATATGGTATTTGTCTTTCTCTTTCTGACTTACTTCACTTAGTATGATAATCTCTAGGTCCATCCATGTTGCTGCAAATGGCATTATTTTGTTCTTTTTTATGGCTTAGCAGTATTCCATCGTATATATGTACCACATCTTCTTTATCCATTCATCTGTCTGTGGACATTTAGGTTGTTTCCATGTCTTGGCTATTGTGAATAGTGCTGCTATGAACATAGGGGTACATGTATCATTTTGAATTGTAGTTTTGTCTGGTTATATGCCCAGGAGTGGGATTACTAGATCATATGGTAATTCTATTTTTAGTTTTCTGAGGAACCTCCATACTGTTTTCCACAGTGGCTACACCAACTTACATTCCCACCAACAGTGTAGGAGGGCTCCCTTTACTCCACAACCATTCCAGAATTTGTTATTTGTAGACTTTTTCATGATGGCCATTCTGACTGGTGTGAGGTGGTACCTCATTATAGTTTTGATTTGCATTTCTCTAATAATCAGCAATGTTGAGCATCTTTTCATGTGCCTATTGGCCACCTGTATTTCTTGGAGAAATGTCTATTTAGGTCTTCTGCCTATTTTTTGATTGGATTGTTTGGTTTTTTTTGTTGTTGAGTTGTATGAGCTGCTTATATATTTTGGAAATTAAGCCCTTGTCGATCACATTGTTTGCAAATATTTTCTCCCATCCTGTAGGTTGTCTTTTCATTGTGTTTATGGTTTCCTTTGCTGTGCAAAAGCTTGTAAATTTGATTAGGTCCTATTTGTTCATTTTGTTTTTATTTCTATTGCTTTTGGAGACTGACCTAAGAAAACATTGGTATGATTTACGTCAGAGAATGTTTTGCCTAGCATTTCTAAAAAGCTAGTCTACCCCCAGATCCCACTTGTGACACCTCTTTCAGAGGTCTGTCTTACCCCAGCCCTGCCTTGGGCTTCCTCTCCACAGAGAGGCATTGTAATGTAACTGGATGAACGTTGGGCCACTCTTGGGAGACCTCAACTCATCTCCCCTCTGTGGGCCTCAGTTTCCTCTTCTACAGGATGGGCAGCCTAAGGTTTGCCTTGCCTACATTGCAGAGTTGTAAAGGGCAAGTAACAGAGTCAACATGAAATGACTTGCATAAAATGCCCTGTCGCTGGGTAATAATGACTACATCTCTGTGAATCAGACACTAGGCCCAGCACTTTACATATATTAACCAATTTACAGAGAGTAAATCATTTCCCCCTTTGCTTTTAGGGATGGAAGATGTTTCTTCAGGAAAAAGAAAGAAAGAAAAGAAAGACTGAATTCAATGTAGTTCAGTGCCCACTGTATGTGCCACACCCACACCTCTATATTGCCCCTCCCCCCTCTTCCCATTGATAAACATTAGTTTGTTCTCTATATCTTTTGAAATGAAATTTTAATAGCTGCTCTATCTCCCTTTGAGTTAACATAGCTCTAGCTTGGACATAGCCTGAGTACATTTGAATGGTGGCCCCTGAAAAGATAGTCCACATCCAAATCCCTAGACCCTGTTACCTTCTTTGGAAAAAGGGTCTTTACAGATGTTATTAAGGATCTTAAAATGAGATAATCTGGATCACCTGGGTGGGTCCTAAATCCAAGGACAAGTGTCATAAGAGACAGAAGAGGAATAGACACGAAGAGAAGACAGAGGTAGAGATTGGAGTCATGTGGGCACAGCTGAGGAAGCCAAGGATTGCTGACAGCCCCCAGAAGCTGGAAGAGGTAAAGTATTTCTCCCCTAGAGCCTCCAGACCTACTGGGTCCCTGATGACACCTTGATTTCAGACGTGTGGCCTCCAGAATGTGATGGTCAATTTTTGTTGTTTTAAACCACCCAGTTGGTGATAATTTATTGTGGCAGTCCTAGGAAACAAATACATGGCCATATGAACTGTCTCTGATACTTGAGTCTTGAGGGCACGTAGGATTCGGCTGGAGGGACGCTGGGGATTGAGGCGGTGAAGAGAGGGGGATTGTGTTTAGGGCATCAAGGGAAGTGCACAGTGGTGGGGCAGACCCTGTGGTTTGTGGCTGGCAGGTTTGCAGTTTCCTGGGGACAGCTGGTGGGGAGCCCTGGAACCCCTGGATCCCTGGGCCCGTCTTATGCTGGTCTGGGCAGCATCACTTAGCAGCCGCCCAGAAGCCCTCACCACCAGGGAGGGAGGGACCATGGGAGGAGGTGAGGGGAAGGCACTTCCGGAGAGCCTTCTGTAAAAACCCCCTGCCAGCCAGGCCTAGCGCCCAGGGGGTGGGGGTGGGGGTGGAAGGAGAAGCATTGGGTGGGAGGGGGTGAGAGAATAAGGTGCGGGAGGGGGAAGGGGTGGAATAAGGTGGAGGGCAGGGATGAGAGAGGAAGGGGGGGCTGACAAAATGTCTTGAGGAAGAGGAGGGCTCGGGAAGAGTAAAGCAGGAGGGTGGGGGAGGGGAGAAAAAATAAAGGGGGGGGCAGGTGGGGGAGGAAAAAGCAATAAGGGGGTGTAGGTGGGAGAGTAGAGAAGTGGGGTGATGGAGGGGGAAGACTTGGATGGAGGAGGGGGTGGGAGCAAGGAGGGGGGAAGGAATAAAGAAGGAGGGGGCTGGGGAAGAAGAACGGGGAGACTTAGCGAATGCGGCAGAGGGGTGGGGGAGGGGCTCTCCCTAGTCAGCATCAACAACAGTGTTACTATTGAGCGCTGGTCCCCACTCAAGCAAACATTTAGTGGGCACCTCCCTGTGCCAGACACAGTGCCCTGGGGGCAAATACATCCCGACTCACACGCCCTCCCAGAGCTCTGCTGGGAGATAGCATGGCTCTGCCCTTGGCCTCTGTGATCCACCCCCTTCAGTCATGGGGTGGGCACGATCATTCCCATTTCATAGACAAGGAAACTGAGGCTAGAGAGGGGAAGAGCAAAAGTTCTGTGAAAGCAGGGCCCTGGTTACCCCAGGCGGGCAGCTGCCCCATAGGTCTCTGAGTGCCTGGCCAGCCATTTCCACCCGAGGTCCATCTGCTCCAGACTTCACCGCCACGGCATTTCCCAGGCATGCTCCCCGGGGAAGCTGGGCCCAGCTGGACCCCAATACTTCTCCGAGCCTCAGTTTCCTCATCTTGGCAACGGGGGTAAGAATTTACCTCCTTCACGGGGCTGTCGGGTGGTTCATTCAGCAAACATTTCTTGAGCTCTCGCTGTGTGCCAGGCACTGTGCTGGGCTGGGCGCTGGGGATGCCGAGGGGAGCACGTGGATCAGCTGCCCGACAGCAGGCTGCTGGTGGCCTCCTGAACGTGGAAGGAGATGTGGCTGTCAGGGCTCGGGTATACAGCAGGCACACCATAAATGCCAGATTCTTCCTTGAGCTCCCGACAGGTTGTACGCCTGTCCTCATTCCATCCTCATCCAGACCTCTCAGGACCCCAGACCTGAGAGGCAGGCCACCCTCCCACTGGCCTCCTACCCCTACCTCAGCTTCCATTTGAGAAACAAGTTGGGGTC